TTGTTTTTTAATGCTGTACAATAGAATGTCTCTGTTTTTGCTACTTCTGATAGATTATTAACCATTTTATTGTATTCAGTAACACCATATATAAAAATTGGTGGGGGTTTATTGGTTGCTGGAGTTTTGTTGGTATTTTCTGTACTGTTATTGTTGTCGTTTTCGTTTTCATTTTGTAGAATCTGAAATTTATTGCTGGTTACTACCGTGTCTTCGTTTTCTGTTGGTGTCGGAGGATTAATTTTACGTTTTTTGTTACTATGTTGTATAGTTTGCCATTCGTGGATGTCCGATGACTCAATGTCGCTGATTTCCTCTGAAGATTCTTCACTTTGTAATGTATGTGTCATCTCAATAGAATCATAAGCTTCATTTTGAGGTGTAGATAATGTGGGATTTATTGTAGGATTGTATTGACAGTTTGAGGAAGATTGTAATAGTACTTGGTTAGGAACATAATATATTGTTGTTGGTGGATTGTTTAAAATTTGTGCTGAATTTGGTTGTGAATTTTGTGCAAAAAGGACATTTGGGCATTCTGGTTGAATTTGTTGTTGCTGATATTGAGTATTTATAGGTTGACCATTAACAGTAGCAGTATAAAAAGGAACACTCACCGATAAATCTGGTGGAGCACTCATTTTAATTGTTAAAACTGTATATTTTAATTTTTAAATAGTTTATAAATAGTATATCCACTTGATACACGATAATGACGGTAAAAACGCGGCCGGAGCCCGTTTTTAATCACACTGTAAACTTTCGCCTAATTTGTATCGATGCGATGTTTGCAGGTCGAGAGTCAAATGAATACTACTGATATATTTGAGAAAAGAAAATTTCAAATAATTTTGAAGTTCTTCGTCACTGCTTACGACATTGCGTTGGGGATTATCAGCTATCAAATGTCATAAAAACTGTGCTGTCCATAATTTTCAAACGGAGTATAAAATCGCCGTTAAGACCTGGGTGTTTTATTTCTAGAATGTTCAACCACGTATGATGTTTGACACGGTCAGATGGTGTATCATAATAATTAATGAAACATACATATTTTTTTTTCCTGGTCTTATAATTTGCAGTACTGATAATGTAAATAAAACATTTCTGTGGTTTCCAATTATTCACGAAAGCTCAACTGCGATTCACTTGCAAATTTCGGTAGCCTTTCTTACATACATAATTTGTGAGATAACTTTAGAGACAACTTTAATCCATGACCCATTAGGCTAATTAAGCGAATCTTTTCGCATTTTGTGCGCCAATAATTTCAAGAATGTTTCTAAATGCTCATTTAAGCCAATCTCGATGTATCTGCCTCCTGTTATGAATCATATATGAATATTATTAATAGTTGGGAACCTTCAGAGAATTCCCATTTTCCATTTCTGTAATCATTAGCTTCATCCAGTTTTTGATCCCTTTGCATCTTATCACTCATGTATAGAATTTGTCCATATTTTTGTAATTCTTGGGTACTTTCCTTTTGTTTTCTTAGTCTCTTCAATTATCCAAACTTTCTTGGTATTTTTTCCTGATAAGTACCCGAATTTGTTAGTATTTTTCTACTTGCGCGGGTTGAAATTTTTTACCACTGTTTCATTAAATCTAATATTTCTTATTGTGTGCATTGTTTATGCGCTCATAAATACTTTTAACTATTCTCACCTCAGTAGCGCAACTAGAATTTTCCTCTGGGGGGGGGGGTTAGTTGAGCACCGAAATTTTTGTATGCTACCTCCACCATAAAGTCCTTAAAATGTGAAATGTGTGAATAACAGTGTCAGAATAGGGTCCTGGGGTGTTTTAACCTCCAAATCCCCCCCCCTAGGTGTGCCACTGTCTTACCTTACCTTTGCAGTGTGATTTATGTAAGGTTTTATTTTGTTTACTGGATTATTGCTGCCAGACGTGTGCGGTGCCAGGTGTGGGATCGTCTAAAAACAGTCTGAAGTTGATCTAAAAAGTAAGGTTCAGTCTGATTTTTTGCCCGGTACCATTATTAGAATAATAGATCTATTTTTATTTAGAAAATAAAACCCGGCTATGTTTTCATTGTTACTACTCTTGTAAATTTTATTCTGAATCTGCTTAAATCAAAACATTTCAAATTCGCTAAATTCATAACGTTGTCAAATTATATAATATCTATATGCTCCAAGTGGGCGTCTGTCTCTTACAACTGTCTCCTTATTTTTAGAAACAATTCAATTTTTATGACAGTTGATTTATCACGAAATTCTTTACGTGGATTAATATGTTTGTGGAAAAATTGGGCGGATGTTAGCGGCAAATTAAACGTAACATCCGGTTAAAATAGACGTTTTATTAATTTTGGTATTTTTTAGTTTTTAACCACAACGAACATGCGAAATATTTCAATAAATTTAAAATTTTTCACCTTAAAATAGCTGACACGTGATAAACAGCTGGTGTTGGAAATGAACTAAGACAATTCATTAGATGATTTTTAAGTTTATACAACTTACAAATTAGTATTTTTAAAATTGTATCAAAGAAAAATAAGTTTGTGACATCTAAGCAACAACTTTCATAGATTAAAAAGGAAACTAATCAGCACATAAAGGAGGTGCGCTCTCAACGGTACTATTTATTCAGTCACAATAATAAAAAAGCTTTCAAACGCAGGAAGTATAAACACGAATGCAGTACAAATAATTGGATATGCAGACGATATAACCATAGTATCAACACATAAAAGGCATTAAAGAAAACCCTGAAAGAAATAAAAAATGAAGCCAAACTGGAAGGACTGGAAATTAATGAAAATAAAACAAAATACATGAACTTAAGCAAGACAAACAAGACACAAATGACAGAACTGACAATATATGCACACAGTTTCGACGAGGTTGAAACATTCAAATATCTGACAGTACTCCTTAATGCACATAGTTTCGACGAGGTTGAAACATTCAAATATTTGGCAGTACTCCTTAGAACTTCCTCATTAGTTTTTCGTGCTGTCCAAGGTATCTTCAACATCCGTCTATGAATCCACATTTCTAATGCTTCAATTATGTTCATGCTTGATACTTTTCTGAATACTCGATATGGACTAAATAATACAAGCAGTGTGTCAAGATGATGGGTACAGAATTCAAAATACACGCTACGATGTTAAATCGAAATCGACAGGTAAACAAAAAGGCAGGAAATGCAGTTTAAATATCTGGGAATAGATATAGAGATCTTCTCAGAAGTCAAGAAGAAGAAAAAGAAATACATAATGGTCGAAGAATTATTGGAAGAACAAGGAAGAATTCTCAAGGAAGAGATCTTCTTTTTGTGCCACTCCTATCGGAGATTGGAAATCATCAAGGCTATTCTGACCTTCTTTACGGCTGACCTAAAGAGTTCATTAGTGGTGCAGCCAAACCACTCTCTCAAATTCCGCAACCATGACATTCTTCTACGGCCTGGATTCCGTTTTCCTTCTATTTTTCCCTGCATTATATTTTGAAGTATTATTATAAGTATAAAATATTCGAGTTTTCTTCGCTTTAGCGTTAACAAAATCTCTGGGTCTTTTCCTATTCTTCGTATTACTTCACAGTTTGTTATTCTTTTAACCCAACTAATCTTCAGCATTCGACGGTAGGCCCACATCTAGAAACTTTCAATATTTTTCATGTTGTTCTGTTTGAGAGTCCAGGCCTCTACACCGTATAATAGCGTGTTAAATACATAGCCTCTCAGCATTCTTAATCGTAGAGGGATGCTTATATTTCTGTTGCAGAAGAATTTTCTCATCTTTATGAAGGTGGCCCTGACAATTTCGATACGTCTTTTTATTTCACTGTTTTGGTCTCCAGTTTCGTTTATTTAAGTCCCAAGTATTTGTAACTTGATACTTTTTCAACTTGAGTGCCGTTTATACTAATATACGCTGGTTGTATCATGTTTTTACTGAAGACCATATACTTGGTTTTTTTAATATTGATATTTATACCATAATTGTTGCAAGCAATATTTATGTCTGTAAGTAATCTTTGTAATTCTTCTACTGTTCTTGCAACTAGTACAGTGTCGTCCGCGTATCGAATATTATTTACAATCTCTCCATTAATTACGATTACTCCGTTTGCTTGTAAAAGGGCTTCCTGACAGATGCTTTCACTATATACATTAAATAACAGAGGTGACAAAATGCAACCCTGTCGTACTCCTCTACGTATTTCTATTGCTTGTGATGTTTCAGTTTCTATTTTGATGCTAGCTTTCTGATTCCAATATAGATTGAGAATTATTCGCAGATCTTTATTATCTACGTCCTTCCTTTCAAGAATCTCTCTAAGCTTATCATGGCGTACTCTGTCAAACGCTTTTTCAAAATGAAGGAAGAGATACATGTGGCTAATATCGAAGAAGACGCAGACCTTAGAAGACTATACCTACATATGAAGAAAGAAGAAGAATTAAAGGTCGCTTTAATGTAAATTTTACAGCTATTGCTATTACATCGTTGAAATCCATGTTTGCAATGCTTGAATTGCAGCGAGACATACCAACAGGAATGTTTAGCTAATATGAATGTTTATTAGGCATAGTAGTAGAAAGGGAATCTTACACAAGATCTCACTAAAGGTTGTAAAGAACGTTTAGATGCTTCAGTTGCGAATCATATATTTAGGGAGAGTGAAAAATAATATGTTATTGTAAATTGCAAACATTGTTTGTTTACTCGAAGACAAACTTTTTATGCTAGAGTTAAAGTTTTTGACGTGGACATATTTTTAAATAACTCAGGTTTAACTGAAATCGGAAAATGTTAGACCATACTCACTCGGTTAACAATTTGTGGATAAAACGTGTTGCCAATATTTTATAAAGAAAATATTGATGATCCTCAGTCTAAATTCGTCTTTTATTGTCTAAAACTTGTAGTTTATATATAAATTCTTTAGTTTCTCCTTCTTTACTAACATTTTATCTCCATCTCATCTTCATTCCATTATGTATGATTAGAATAGTTCACAATGATTTACTTTAAATTTAAGAAAACATTTAGATCCCTCGTTTATTCTTGCAATTTTTACGTTTTTAGTTCAACGACACAGCAAACCAGTACGGGATCAGATCTAGCCCACAGAGCACCAAGTGGTGATGTCAGAACATGGTACGACGACCTCAACTCTCCCCTAATCCAACAGGACGGTAACGAAAAGAGCCTAAAATTAAGATTCGACGTTAGTCAGTATGCTCCAGAAGAAATTGTAGTTAAAACTGTTGATAATAAACTATTGGTGAGTATTCCGCTATTTAGGTATATTTATTAACAATCAATGAATACACGTTTAGTATGGTCCGTGGAATTTGAAATAGCATTTGACAGCATCATTCGTGTTAAGAAGTAATAACTTGACGATTCTTGAATGTACAGTAGAGCTAAATAGAAATATTGATTTGTTTTCATAACTAATTAAAATAGCCCTAAATATTCAACACTATTTTTTTAAATACAATAATGCTGAAATAAAAAGATAGAAAAGGGAAGTATTTTTGAAGTGTGTAAATAATTTTAATTCCTAGCTGATCGCTTTCGGTTTACAAAGCCATCTTCAGAGCTATGCTGCAATAGAATAATGATGTAAATAACTATTTTTTATTTAACAATGATTCACTTCAAAAATCTACTATAATATAGGAGTGAACATATGCTAAAAAAATTACAGGAGAATGCTGGTTTTATATTCTTTGTCAATGAAATGACTGTACACTGGACTCCACAAAAACACATTACAAAATTAGGTTATGGTGTTAGAACCCGACCACTTATTGTTATTGAAGCAGCAGATAGAATGAGCAAAATCGAATGCTAGCCTTTTAAATGAGGCACTTGGCTCGATAGTACTATAACCTTTTCGAAATCCCGCTTGTCCGACAGTCTGGGTAACTATCGAACTTATTTGATAGTCTGTTGGTAATTATTTTGGCAGTTTGTAGGGATGTGATAATAGACTTATTGGTCTATATTTTTACAGTTTGTGTGTGTGTGTGTCTCCTTTCTTGTATGGTAAAAATGTCTTCACATTTTGCCAAGAGGTTGAAATAGTGCCCCCAAACAGGTACTCATTCATTTTAACTGCTCCCAAAGTATTTTCACTCCTAGCTGTAATCATCTGTTTTGTTATTCCGTCATCTTCAGGAGCTTTTCCATTTTTCAAGTGTTTTTTTGAGGCAATTTTAACTTTCTCGTTGTAATTTGTGGTAGTGTTTCTGATCCAAAATTTAATATTCTTAATAATCAATCAACAATCAATTTCGTTTTTGGTTTTTTCGTCTGGACTTATCCAGATCAACCTTCTATTATCTGGTTTACTAAAAAAGATGTTCATACAAAATAGGTTTTGCTCCTTTGTGTGGGCTAGTAACAGTTCTTCGCTTTTGTTCTTAATTCTTAGACCATATATCTCTATAGTACGTTGCTGGTGGTATACTTCCCTAACATGGAGTTAAAATCTCCCATGATTATTTTAAATGAGCTCTTTATATCTTTGCCTTAAAAATATCTTCTTAAAATTGCTCTATTTCTTCATCTGTTGATTGACTAGTGGCCTATACGTTAACGATTTGGATGCTGTGGCTTTCTGATAGATGTATAAGAACGATGTATAAAACCCTCTTCGAGATTGCGGCAGATGTTTATTATGATAGTGATACACAGCTGACATGTATATTGGACTCTTTATGAAAGTGATATAACTATGTCCAGACTGGAGTGTTGTATATTGTTTCTTGGTATCTCGTTTCACTTAGACTCAGGTCGTCCCTTTTGATTCTACTTATTTTTTCATTCAGCTCATCCATTATTTCAGGTGATTTGATAGTGCTGGTCTGATATTGAAATGAATAATATAAATATGTTGCTCTCGATATGTGGGATAGAGCACCCACCTGGGGACCAAATCCTGTTGTTTAAAAGTCCTGTTGAGTAAAAACTCATTTAGGGTAAGTTAGCCATAACTCATTACGCTGGCAAGACGGGTTGGCGAGTGCTAGTGGGGAATATAGAGAAGGGATTAAGGTACAGTAGGATATCACATTGACAATGTCAAAAAAAAATGGTACGTCATTCTTTATGATGATTAGGCTAGTACCGAGCACTGATTCTATGCTAATAATAAATATCTATGACTATTATCTATTCAAGATAGGTTGGAAAAATAACAAATCTTTGTATATTACTTAAATGGACGTTTGAATATTTCTAATTTCAGCAGAGCAGAAGTTACTGTTTGTTGCGAAGAAATTGGCCACCTAAAACAATAGAATCTCGGCAAATTCGAAATATTTGCCTTGCTAAGTTCACTTTACATGATGAGTAAAAACGTGTTAAAATCGTTTTCAAAGAGATTTAATCGATAGTTAGTGAATTTTGAATAATTGCATTGAAATCAGTACGATGTTCAGCCGGACGTTGCCACTGACATCGATGATTTCGGTGAACAAGTGACGTCATTATTAATTAAAAATGATGGTTTTAGGCTTTCTATTATTGAAACTATTGTTTCGTAGGAAAATTATATTTTTTATTTTAACACATTCAACATCCCTATTCAAGAACAAGTTCGATAATAACCAGATTTTTTTGTTGTTTTTTCTTAATCTATAGTTTTTAATTTTGTTTACTTAACCCTATACTTATGATTATCTTAATCAAAACAATATGAAAAAATATGTAGTTCATGTAAAGCCTTATTAAATCTGCATTGTTTGATAAATAATGTATTAGAATGTGTAATTACATACCATGTCGGAGATCAACATTTATGATAATAAATGTGTGTGTCAACCGTGACGGACGGCCTTGAATAATTGTTAAAGCATTGTAAAAAAATGTTTTAATGTATTATAATAAAAAAATTTATTATCCTTCGACTTATCAGTCCATTGTATATCTCCTTGTCGCCTACCATTTTTTTTATAGGATTTGTTGGCCAATCAGGTTAATCGTTTATTTTTTCATATATAAATGCTATTGTGTTTGTAGAGTCCGTTTTTAATTTTTAAGTTGTTTATTTTGCATAGGTCGAACAATGTTTCGCACTTGTTGACAATTATATCTTCTACAAAAAATACCTACTGTTCTGCCATTGTGGTTTCTTCTGGTCCTTCTAGTCCTATCTACCATCTGTCGCTGTTCTTCGCATCCTAGACTCCAATCTGCTTGTAGCCCTCTATATTCTTCCATTGCAACATTTGTCTCCACGATCGTTTTGGTCTACCACTTTTCCCCGGTTGGTGGGGGATCCACTGTCACATTATCTTTGACCATCGTTGCTCACTCATCCTACTAAATGGCATACCATTTCAGTCATTTGCATTCTATAGTTTCGACAACGTCGATGTATGCGGCCATGTTCTCTAATTTCAATAGTTCTGGTTCTTATTTTTGTATTTTAAATTGGCAACATTTACGCCAACAATTCATTCTCATTGCTTTTATTTTGGACCTGGCTCTGAACTATATACAGTAATACTTTCTATGATACTTTTGTATATCCTCATTTTTGTGTTCTTAAGGATGTGATTATTCCAGAGTATACTATTCAGCTTGGGTATTGACGATACCAAAATTAAATCGATTACATATTGTTTAAACATCGCTGGAAATATATATATTAGCCAATGAAAAACACGACCTGGCGCTGACTGCGGCTCTGGTTACCAACTCCTTTTTGCAACATTTCAAATAAAAGAACACAACAATTTAAAAACCAATGTAATGAAAGATTGAAAAATTATTAACTATCCGAGCTGCTAAAGCTCAATAATGACCCACAACATTCGGTCAGTTAAGATGTTAATGACTATTATATTGATGATTGCTGCATTACCTGGTGGTTATCAAATTTGGGGTCAAAAAGTACATTTGCAAAAACACGCGTTCAAACTAGTCAAATTGCATCAAATCCACAATTTGTAATTGTGACGTAAAATTGTGTGAGTTACTAACTTCAGTTTCCCCTGTTTGTGCTGTTACCATACTAACATTTTTAGAAATATTTGTAAACTGCTCCCTACAATTGAGCTATTTAAAATATACATTCTAGAATACTCTGCTTGCAACAAAAACTTTAAATAATGTATAAATATAAAGACCGTTATGTCGTCAGTGGAATGTTACACATTTATTGTAATAAATAATAAGGCGGTTTGCCAAGTGACTTTATTTTTAAACTCAAATTAGAAGCAATTAATGATTACATTATGTCAACACAATGTTTATAGGTGATGTTAACAGTCTTTGCGACGTGATGTAGACGTGACCTTACCGAGAAATTTGTTAATGTATGATAATTATGCTGTGATATTTATTTTTAATATGTAAGATTTTTTTATCACACATTGTTATCCTCCAAATTAAAAATTATGATGCAGGCAACTGTACAATTTTATGACAACAATCTTTTTGATTTTGTCCTTTTTTATCCATTTGCGAATAATAAGAAATTTATTTCTTAAAATTTTCCCTTTGGTTTTCGCTCCTATCAGATTATCATCAGTGAAAATTTGAGTACCTGCATAAAAGACATTTTCATAGCCATTTCAATCTTCAGCACCTTTAACTGTACCTATGTAATTGAGTGGTACCTACCTGACCCCCAAGCTATAACCAACCACCCTTCTCCATTGCAAAGCATAACGTATGTGGAGGCTTTGTTCTAAAAATTACTTTAGATGCCCTGGTTAATGAGACATCCTGTTTTATTTTATGTGGTTAAGCCACGTGATTTTTAGGGATAGCTACAAAAGCTTATTTCCCCATGAATGACTGCAGTTAATTTTTACATAACTTTGGACTTCTTCTTTTTATGTAGACATGACTGTATTTCAATGTGTCTCCAGAAAGTTGTCGTTCTATGACATTTTTATGTCCAAAATGTGTGTTGCGGACAGGTAGTCACCGACATAGGACTTCCCTCCCGGATAGTGTGTTCAATCACTCAGCCCCCCAGCCGTCGAATTGGCAAAACAAATTTTGTTCTCCTCGTCGGCGAGCTCCCAAAGGGTCTGCTATCGAGCTCACGTTTCTCGTTATATGACCTCGATACTCAGGTTCCATGAGCCAGGTACTTTTGACCTACTTGAAGGGTATTAGGTGCCCGAAGGGCCTTTTTCCTGAAGGTCGGCTTGTCTGTCTGTCTGGCTGATCATCATTCATTCGATCTACTTTTTTGTATTGTATTAACGCTGCATGACTGCTGTAAAAGATGGTAATTATATAGGGTTAAGAGAAAATAATATTAGAGAAAAAGTAATAATGGGATGGGTGTGCATTTCCAGGTGTATATGGCCATCACACACCCCGCATATATATTTTTTGGTTTTCGTTTTTTATATAGTGGAACTGGTTAATCAAAATTAAAATAACTACATAAAATATAAGAATAAGGTATTTTTGGGCCTTCTGCTCTTGCGTGCGTTCAACTACTACATGGCTATCTCATTTCTTCACTGTTCTTCTGGGTCTTCTCTATATCCAACTAGCTGCTGTCTGGGCCGACTATATACTATCCTCTGATTTTCGTCATAGCCTGTCTTAATCGTCTGCTCGTTGAAAATCCTGAGATCGTTGAAAATCACGTGTGCTTTCTGATCCATTTTTTTCAGGATTCTCTTTTGTTCTGAATCGATAAATACGTCCCTTAATGGAACGTACTTAGTATATTTAGAGCCTCTCTGATCATATGGTTCTGAATTAGTATTTTCGTTTTGTTGGATTTGCACATGCGGCCGAGGCGTATGTTGGTATTGGCAAAATTATACAGTTTGCCATCCTTATCTTTGTTTTGTATATATATATATATATATATATATATATATATATATATATATATAAGGTTCTTGAACTCCTAAGTGGAGCATAGAGCTTCAGTGAAAACGCGCCATCGATTTCTATTTTGCGCTAAGGCCTTCACCTCATTCCAAGACTTTCCTTGTTTTCTTATCTCGTCCATGATGGATCTTCTCCAAGTTTGTACTGGGCGACCTTTTTTTCGTTTTCCTTGGGGATTCCACTCTAGGGCAGTCTTTGCAATACTGGAGTTATTTTTTCGGAGTGTGTGACCGATCCAACCCCACTTTCTGGACTTTATTTCATTTACTACCCTCTTTTGTTTGGTCAGGTGTAGTAAATCTTCGTTTCTGATGATGTTGAGGCTGAGGCCAGAAAATACGAACAATTCTTCGTAGACATTTATTAACAAAGACCTGCAGTTTGTCTGTAAGGGTTTTTGTCGCTTTCCAGGTTTCACATCCGTAAAGTAGTACAGACATGACATTTGACTGGAATATGCGGATCTTTGTCCTCGTAGTGTATTCTCCAGACCTCCAAACAGGGTTGAGCATGCTGAAAGCTTGTTGCGCTTTTCGTATCCTCATACGAATATCGTCTTCTGTACCTCCGCTTTCTGTTATGACACTTCCAAGATACGTAAAGTTTTCCACATTTTCAATCTGCATGTTATTAATGGTGAATAGCGTGTTGTTTCTTGCATTTATTCTCATGGATTTGGTTTTACCAATATTGGTATTACCAATATTTACCAATACAATATTCAGTGGAAAGTGTTTCCAATTGGTCAGCCACATCTTGGAACCTTTGTCCTAACAGGCAGATATCGTCGGCGTATTCTAGATCGCTTAGGCGTGTGGTTAGCGTCCATTGTATCCCTCTTGTGTCAGAGTCTAGTTTGGAGAGAACATAGTCTAGAGCTATGTTAAAAAGAAACGGAGAAAGCACGCATCCCTGTCTGACTCCAGTAAGTACGTCAAATTCGTCACTGTTGATCTTTGTTTTGAATCTCAGTTTACTCTTCCGACCTATTAGTGATAAGAGTTGATTTCCAATTCTTATTGACCGTTTGTTTCACTTCTGTAAGGTTCAGCCTTTTGTCCAACGTTACGCCTTGATATTCCACTTGATTTGACCATTCGATTTGGATGCCGAATAAGAATAGCACCCCATTTGGTCCGCCTCTTCTTTTTTGGTAAATGACTACCTGTGTTTTGTCAGGGTTTACTGCTACCTTTCGCTGGACACACCAATGTTGTAGTTCGTTAAGTGCTCTTTGTAGGTGTCCTGTTGATCGATCTAGGTTGGTACTGCTAGCAGTTATCGCTGTATCGTCTGTGTATAGACTTAGCAACGATCTTGATTCGGTGGGGGTGTCTGCTGTGTATATGAGTTATAGATATGGCGATAATACTGTGGCACATCAGTCTCCATGGTTCCAGATTCTAGCAAGGTTGGCCGTATCCGAGCTATGAACCACCTGTCGGCTTATATGATAAGAGAAGGTTATCGCCTCACTATAACCATATTGGTTCATTTTATAAAGCAGGCCTTCGTGTCAGACTCCGTCGAATGCTTTACTGACATCTAGAAAGGCAGCTGCTGTATATTTATTTTCATTGAATTCATTCAACATTGAATTTAGATTGGATAAAAAATTTCTGAATAATTGTGGAGAAATTTTCCAAGGGAGTCGTTTATACAACGTTTCATTCTTCAACTTTTGTGTATTAGACGGAGAGACATGTATTATTTACTCCTTACTCCAAAAACTCTGTATAAAACATTTTTATTAGGTTTTATTTTTTTATTATATGGTATATACCTTTGTGTCTTCTATTAAGTCCCACTTTGATCAGTTATTAAATAAAAAATTATTAAAAAGAGAAAAAGTGAACGATATAATTACGATATCAAAAGTTCTAAGATGAATAATTATTGTTAAATCATTCATGAAATTTCCATTGATATTGTTATAAGCACCACCTAATCGACTATCGTATTATTTCTAATTCTAAACACACCTTTAAAATATCTATTTTGGGTATGTCACGTGCCAGTTCACTGGATTGTATATTTACACCGCTTGTATTTAAAACAACTTTGTAACTTTGTATGCATAATGGGTACTGCAATAAGCTAAATTAAATAAAAGATCATTGCACTCCTAATTAATACGAAAATATCTTACGTGTGGATAGAATTAAGTTCAATATTTTTTTCATCTTTCCTAAATCTGTGCTAAATTTAAATATTCATTTCAGCTTTGAGAGTACATAGGAATTGATAAGATTTCATCCTAAAATATCATAAAATTACATAGACTGAATATTTCTAAATAAAATAAATGAATGATTAAATGGGTGACAGCACACTAAAATTGTCCATGCGGTATGATTTTAATAAAGATTTTTCATAATGCTCATACTATCTGTTCAGTAGACCCTCTTCGGTTTAAGTTAATTTCATAACCAACTCAAATAAGCCTAAACGTCATGTGACAGATTATTTCCAACGAGGTTTTTGTGATAATACTGATCATAATATTTCACCTAGAAATTTTAAAGTGGACTGAATTACGCTGATTAGTGAATTTTAAGATCAGCCATTTTTAATCATAACATTCTGGCATTTTGTGTCGTTTCATGGGTCCGTTTGGAAAGAATTCCCTTAACTATGTAAAACATCCAATCTTACTGCAAAGTTTTTTTTTTAGTTTAGTATCATTTTTGTCATAAAACAAACCACACGATGATATAATTGATCTCTTTTTTTTGTTTTTAGGTTCACGCTAAACACGAAGAGAAGACAGAATCAAAATCCGTATACAGAGAATACAATAGGGAATTCTTACTGCCTAAAGGAACAAATCCCGAACACATCAAGAGCTCCCTAAGTAAAGATGGCGTCCTTACTGTCGAAGCACCTCTTCCAGCGATCACTTCAGGAGAAAAATTAATTCCAATCCAACATTAATTAATTTAAAATTTCTTATAAGCCTTCGAGACGTTTATGTCCGCTAGCAAATACTCATCGATTAATAATTTAAAATGTAACAACTTATGTGACTAACAAAATGTTTATTTTATTTCATTTTTTAAATTTGGCAACGTTGTCTGGCTTGTTTATGGTAAGTCACAAATTCAGTGTTGGCTTTAAAGTAGTTATTGTCTACACAGCACAAGTCACAAATCGTTAAATACACAATAAATCTCATACATAGTTGCCGAATGGTTCCATACCATTTGTGACTATCTTATTGATGGCGGCCGTAAACTTCAAGGTTGATTAACATCCTTTCACAAAGCTTAATTATGCAATGAAAATAATTTTTAACAGCATTATTTGTGACAAAATTGAAGCTAATGTAAAATTGTTTGGTTAAATTCTTGTGAAGGTCTATGGTTCGATGTTCAATAACCAGCAATTTCACCGTAGGCGTAGTGTAACAAATTGTATCATGTGTAGGATATTTACGAATAAATTATTTTTAATCTCGTATGTTTGGACTCTTATTTCTTTTATATAACTCATGTTGTTCTATTGAAATCAAGTACAAAATTATTGTGGCATATGCTATTGTGTAATATTTGTTTAATAAAAGATGACATATAGTTGGCATAGCTTTCTTTCGTAACTTACTATAATATACATGGATTTAAGTCAGTACACCTTCCTACACACTATTCAATCAGATGGAAAATAATCCTAGAAACATAACATATATACACAAGAATTAACATCGATGTAATATACCTACTAATGGCATAAAAAGAGAAGTTAGTAAGATTTTTAAACAATTTAGAAACAAAGTAAAGAAATATGCTTTGTGAAATAAACTAAGAGAAATCCAATTTATGTAATAAAGGATATGTCAAAAAAATATATATCGAACTGAGAGAAGCAGTTATAAACTCAACTAAAAATCCGGTTATTCATCAACAAGCTCAGCAGAAAATAAATAAGAACCTTCAGCTCCTGTCATATAGAGACCAAACATGTGATGACACTAGAAATACCATAGTGACAGTAGAAGAAAAAAATATTGGCAGAACGACAAGCAAAACAAAACTGGATGGCAGGCGAGATCTTTAACGTAATGGATGAAAGAACATTAAATATGCAAGATCCAATTAAGTACAAGACAATAAACCACAAGATCAGACGGGATGTAAAGTATGGGATTCTCAGGAAAGGTAAACAGTTTAAAGAATACCAACAGCAGTATGACAGCTTCAACTTTCACAAAAAGGTCAGAGTATCAATTGCTTACAAGCAAATAACTGTAATTAAAGGCAATAATAATTTATTGATTTTAAACCTCGAACAACAAACAACTTATCTGTTGGTCAGAATACATAAAAGACCTTTTCCATGACGATCGAGCACCAATGACTCCCCACCCTTCTGTAGAAATGGATCCATCCATTTTCGCGAAGAAGCTATTACATGCGATCGAGCAACAAAGAAAGTTAAGGCAAACGGACCTGATGAGCTACTAATACAGCTCTTCAACTCATTGATGATGATACCATTAAAATTTTACTTCGGTTTTTCAACTTAATTTATTTAACGGAAACTATTAAAATAAGTGGTTATTGTCGACATTCTTAACAAACTCTAAAAAACCGAACACCAAAGAATGTTCCGAGAATCAAGTAGGGTTGGTTCCGAGACCAGGACACCAGAGGGGCATTGGCAAGAAGGGTATGAATCAGGACATATAAATTGTGTTAAACATGTTTTTAACAGCCTATAATTTAAGAAGTAATGAATATTTTTATTTGGAAATTGTTAATTCGACCTACCTACACTATCAATTGATGTATACATGAGATCTGTAACATCACGGGTGTTGTGACGTTATTACAATAGAAAAATTAAATGTATCATGGGAGTGAAGGTTAGGTCAAGCGAAAGGCTGTTTATCCTAGGTTCAACGGTGTAACACACTGAGGGTATTAATGGTAATAAATACGCTAAATTTTCAATTTAATGTCCGATTTATCATTTCCAAATTAACCTGAAACTATTATCTTTTTATAGTTTTTACAAATTCCCAAGAAAAGCAAGTAGTGCTTGAAATTTTATAAATCGTTTTTTGACAACTACAAATAGTAACAGCTAATGCCATTTCTCGTGTTTACCCACTAATACGTTGATTTTAAATTTAAAATATCTTGAGTTCGTGGTAAAAATGCTTTTCCTATTCACACCTAATGAATACGTAGATATGTTGTTGGTTTATGGTGAATTTAGGAACAACGATCAAGCCACGGAACGCTTTCTGAAAAAAAAAATACCGTCTTATGTAACTTTTGCTATGGTTGAGGGGAAGATGAAGCAAGGTTTATTTTTGAATGGTAAACATAGGGATCATTTCAAACCATTATAGACCGAACAAAACTTGAACATTTTAACATATGTAACCATTAATCCACATCTCTCCACAAGGTCCATCGCTACAGAAACTATCTTCAACTACAGTTCACAGGATTTAAAAAACACAATTACCATCAATTTAAACTGTTTGGTTCATGAATTACGACCCACCGATTAGAATCGAAGACTAATCTTTATCGCAATATTGCAAGACTAATGTCAATGAGATGATGAAATACACTCATTGCTTTTTAAATAGAATTTTGTGGAGTGATGAAGCCCGTTTCCATAATAATGAGTTTGTAAATTGTAATTCGCGACCACACAAACTCGCTTTCTCACAAATTCGCTCCCACACGAACTCGCGCATCCACAAATTCGTGCACACACGAATTTGCGCTTACACTCACAAACTTGTGCTCACACCAACTGGAGCCCACGCGCCTAGAAATTCGTTCCCAAACAAAATCGCGTCAACACGAATTCGCGCCCACACAAATACTTGCTGCCAAACAAAGACGCGCTTACACAAACATGCGCCTAAACAAATTTACGCCCTCACGAAGAGGCGCCTACACCAAATCGTGCCCACACAAACACACGCCTACTTGAACTCGCACTAACACGCGGCCACACAAATACTCGCCCACACTTACTAGGGCCCCACTAAGACACCCTTACACGAAATGAAAACGCGCCCACTCGGACACATGTTTACGCGAAACTTGCCCACACACACACACACACACACACATATCCAGGCACCCGCTTACGCACGCACCAACGCCCACACTTACAAACAAGCACACATATACACACGCACGCCCGCACCCACAAACAGACATATACACACAGCACATATGAACGAGCTCACACGAAAACGCGCCTTTAGATCACGCGCCCATTGTACATCCACATCAAAACGCGTCCACACGATCTTGCGCACAAGCAAACACGCGCGAAGACATTCGAGCTTACACAAATTAGCGCCCTTGGACACGTGCCCACAATCCATCGAGCAATAAGACAAAAGAGGGAATGTAAAGGTAGTGGGGGTAAACATATTGATAGACAGGAAGTGCCATCTTGAGAGGCCATTTTAGACAAGGATAGACAGTCTCTTTCCTTGTTTAAGAAGTCAAATTTAGTTAGGTTATGTTATTGTTTGTCCCAACTGTCACATGAAATTTTATTTATATTGAAATCTTTTACCAATTGTGTCACTTTTTAGACTATTATAGTTAATATTTAATTAAAACTTTCTCGTCTGAAAAATATTTTATAGCTATTGTTAATAAGTGTTGGAACATTTAAATTTAGCGCCTTTGCATTTCCGGATATGTCCGCCATCAGAGGCCACTTTTTTGGTCTCCTTTTCATAACGATTAGATTCCCTCTTTTATCTTTTTGCTCGATGCCACAATCACAGGCGCTTACACAAACATGCGCCACGACAAACACGCTTTTACACGAACTGGCTCCTGCAATGACACGCATTTTCACTAACAAGCACCCACACAATCTTACGCTCACATCAAAATGCGCCCATACGAATACGTGCCCACTCGGAACATGCTCACATAAAACTCGCTCAAACTCACACGCGCTTACGTTAACAAACCCGCACTCAACGTAAACGCGCCCTCACACTCAAACCACATACCCACGCACACGTCGACACTCTCACCAACATCTTCAGTCACACACACAAGCACAAATACAAACACACACACGAACGCCCCAACGCCCGCACACACAGCATATATGAACGCGCTCAAGCGTACATGCACCTACAAAAACACGCGTCCACACTAACAAGGCTCCACATGAACACGCGCCCATACTAACCCGTGGCCTCAAGAAAAGACGGACACGCGCATACACAAACACGCTCCCACACATACTCGTGCCTAAAAGAAAACGCGCACACACAAACTAGTGCCTCCTAGAAAACCCGCCCTTACGAACACGCGGTCAAACCTACATGCACCCACACAAACTCGCGCCCACACTAACACGCACCCATACTAAATCCATCTAGGCTGGTTTTAGTAAAGACCGGTTGTTTATCATCGCAAATAGTATAAGTATCTGCTACGTACTCCTTTATCCCTTTCTTCATCTGAGAAGGTACAAGTACTTTTTTTATATTTGTATCCTGGTATTCTTTCAAGCATTAGATTCTCAGTACTTTTAACCATTTAATGCTACTTTTTCCTAATAGGACACTAGCATGACGAAATTTTTTTTATTGATACAAATAGAAAAAAATACAGTAATATAAATTGGTATAAATATATCCCAGCAGAAAACTAATAAAATCTAGCTAAAATTTAAATAGATTTTTTAAAATAAAGCGGCTAAAATTATTTTAAATTATATTAATATTGTCTTTGAGCACATGTCATTAGTTGTATAGTAATTTCCAGCTGAGTACAGTCGAAGTCAAAATTTGTTCAATATAGCAGCAAAAAAGATTTACCCTAAGTAATAAATTTACTATAATAGACACTCGGAGATGGGATAAGCGAATTGAGTAGACAAAGCAAATTTTGTCTATTAAAAACAGTTAAAATTTTGGTTAGAGCGGTTTG